ACTTATTATAGCTGCACAAATAAAAAAAATTTGAAACCAAATCAAGTTGTTTCCAAATCCATTTTAAGGTTACAAGCTAAAACTTATTTCTATGAAGGAAATAAACGTACTATTTGAAGGATCCCGAAAAGGAAAATATAGCAACCGATATTATAAGATTTGATCACAGGATTAAATTTCATTTTACAATATAATTTAAAAACAACTTTGATAAAGTAATATTGTGAAATATTACTGTTTTTACTGTATTTTTTGCTAAAAAATAGATGCAGCCTTGGTGAACGTAGGAGACAGAATGGTTGAATTGTTGTGTTTGTATGTTTGTGAATCTTTTAATCTGAATTAAGAAATTAATTTGCAATTATTTGGCTATTTGTAAGTAATGGTATGTTAGATGGACTGGTTACAATTTATTTAATGGATAATCATGCAGTTGCTTGACAGTTTAGTGTATGACTTTTACTCATGTTTTCACAATCTGATCTTTAAAGGTGCCCATTTTACTTGAATATGATGCATTTCCACATAAAACAGGATATTAACACTTTATCTATTGGGAATTGATTTAATCGTAATTGGGAATTTTATTTCAGAAGTCAGACCATATTAGATGGACCCCTTTTCTTTGCTTGATGCTTTTTTTTTTAACCAGTTAGTGCTGAGCTAAGCTGTTAGCTTACTAGCTAATGACTAATGAAAAACACAGAGGGAATTGTATAATTTAACTGTTTTTAACTTGAGTAATATGTGGAGAGACTTTTTGTCTGGTTTCCTCAGTCTTTATTTAAACTTTTCTGTTTTTAGTTGCCTTGCGGTTCACTCGCTTGAGTGCATCTCATTGTGTCCCAGTTCCCATCATAGCAATTTCTTTTCCCTAAAATAGTAGCCTAAACAAATGCCTTAATGTTAACCAAAAGCTTGTGTGGCCTCTGTGACATCAACTGAAAAGCAAAGTCATTTGAGAGGCAAAGCAAGATATTACATGTCAAAGAAAGATTATATTAACTTTTTTCAATAGCATGCACAATAACACCAGGAAAATGTAGACTTTAAGAGCAGCAAAAGTGCTGTTTCAATCATTACCAATGTTAACCCAGATATGATTTATTAAGTTCATGTGACCACAAACAAAAAATGAAATAGAAAACCACTAAAGCTTCTGTTTTAAATCAAGGTATAAAAATCTCCACCCATAACTTTGACATGAAGTTTAACAAAAATGTACCCTTAATGTCAAAAAAAGAATAGAAATATAATTTTAGAAAACTTAAAAAAAAAAAAGTTTAGAATTCACTGTAGATAACTGACAGCATAAATTAATACCATCATAAAGCAACACAAGTGAGAGGCTACTAACCCACAACAGAAAGTGTATTATTTGTGATGGGTTCAGAGTCTAGAGACAGTCATAAGAGAAACTAACTCTACAGTAGCTCCTGGTATTGAGCTTCCACAAACTCTAAATATTTGATCATGCATTGTGTTTTAGGAGCCAACTCACTATGTAATACCATTTGCTAGAAAACATTTGTGAAAAACAAATGAAAAGTTATTACCAGTCACATAGATGCATAATTTTTGTAGCATATTTTAAGCTTCATTTGAAACCATTTGGTGACCTTTAAAAACATTTGTTCAATGCAGACAAAGATGCATATATATATATTAAGGTCCACATCCTGTTACCTGTATCTTCTGATACAATAATGTCACTTCAAGATCAGTAAATAACCTGCATTGTTTCAGATATTATATTTCATATATTGGTTCTACTTCCACTTCTGATTTCCGAAAAGGACTTTCTATAGTACACATACGATCTTCAAGTCTGCATTTTGAGCTTGTTTTCAAAAATATTGCACTAGCATTGATGATTACGAATGTTTACAGCACCAGAACTGAGCATGCGGTGCAGAAGGTCTGTAATACAGAGTAAATGTCTCTTGTTTAAAATGCTAACTTAAAGCCTTGCAAAATAAACACAGGATTTTACATTGGATTTGTATGAGAGAGTTGCTACATTTGCTAAGGGTGCATTCTGAGAGTCACTTGGATGCATCCTTAAGTATATTTTGAAGAGCTCAGAAGTGTAGGCTATAAAGTTTTGCTTTCTTTGGGATTTTTATTGATTGTGATATTCTATCAATTTTGCGCACAATTAAAATAAAAAGAATTAAAAATTCAAATATAGCCACAGAAGGTGCCAATAGAGCCAATATTATGTTTACATTTAAAGGTGAAGTGTGTCTCTCTTTTGATGTTCAGATACTTTTTCATATGCAGAGTCAACTATGAGTAAAGCCATCTTTGCACTGCACATAACAAATGATGTCTGACAGACTGGAATTCATTAATTTCCTATGGAGAGACGCATAGGCTCATGGGATCATATGCGGATGTGTAATTTTTTGGATCCGATTCAAGCTTTGGATGTATTACAAATTTTGAACGAGATATTAGACTGCATGTCAAATGTTGACCTGAATTTAATGAAATCAGTGTACAGCGTACATCTTAAACACTTAATAGTTGTAAAAATGCAATAAGGAATACAATTGTTCATTTAATATTTGTATTTGTTTTGTCTGTTCCCAAAAAATGGTAGTCATTTGCCCTATATGCATAGCTAGCTATTGTTTATATTTGATTATTTCATTTTCCATGGTGAGGGTAAATGTTCATTACAATTGCCACTAGGGGGTGAATTCCAGACATTTTATTTATCTGAATGTTCCCTGTAATGAAAATGTGGCTTATGACATTCATAGGTTGATTTCCTGAAAAGTGTAACACAGTCCCCTCATCGGGACATGCTTACTTCCCTGCTAATAGTATGCAAAACATAGTACGTCAAATTAGCACTGTCCAAATTCGCAGAATTCATAAAACGGTATGTGAAAAAATACCCAAATTGCCTACTACTAACACCTTGAAGTGTGCAGAGATTGCAGAGACGTTTTACTACCCCATAAGGCCATATGAGTGGATTCGTCAATGGTGGGGATGTGAAATGGCTGATGTTGTAGGTCACATGATAATGCAAACATGGTAAATGTACAGTCATGGTCAAACGTTTTGGCAGTGACATAAATTTTGTGTTTTGCTAAGTCTGCTGCTTCAGTATTTGTAGATTATTTTTCCCCATAATGTGACCCTGGACAACAAAACCAGTCATAAGTGTCAATTTTTCAAAATTGAGATTTATACATCATATGAAAGCTGAATAAATAAGCTTTCCATTGATGTATGGTTTGTTAGGATAGGACAAATATTTGGCCGAGATACAACTATTTGAATATCTGGAATCTGAGAGTGCAAAAAAAAATCAAAATATTGAGAAAATTGCTTGTAAAGTTGTCCGAATGAAGTCCTTAGCAATGCATATTACCAATCAAAAATTAAGTTAATATATTTACGGTAGGAAATTTAAAAAATATCTTCATGGAACATGATCTTTACTTGATATCCTAATGATTTTTGGCATAACAGAAAAATCGATAATTTTGACCCATACAATGTATTTTTGGCTATTGCTACAAATATACCCCAGCGACTTAAGACTGGTTTTGTGGTCCAGGGTCACAAA